ATATATATATATATATACATACATGAAAGGAACAATCACTTTGGAAAACTGTTGGGTAGTTTCTTAAAATGTTGAATATACCCTGCTATACATTCAGCCATTCCACTCCTAGGTATTTACCAAAAATAACAAAAATATCCACAAAAGACATATATGAATGTTCAAATAGTGAAAATGATGCATAAGATATACTATAATTACAAAATGAAATATAATTATGTAAAATGTATCTATATTATTAATTGCCAGAAGAAAGATTTCTCTGGCACAGATATGCAGATACTGGAAGTTACAAGTCAGAAGTAAACTAAAGGTCCAAAGAATATGACCAACGCACTGTCAGTGCCTGCTCCATTTAATAATATAGGGTTTTTTTGGGGTTTTTTTGAGACAGAGTTTCACTCTGTTGCACAGGTTTAAGCAATGCTCATGCCTCAGACTCCCAAGTAGCTGGAGTTACAAGTGTGCACCACCACACCTGGCTAATTTTTGTATTTTTAGTAGAGACAGGGTTTTGCTCTGTTGCCCTATGAACTTCTGAGCTCAAACTATTGACTCATCTCAGCCTCCCATAGTGCTAGGCATGAGCCATCACACGAGGCCTAATATAGATACACTTTTTACGTGTTTAATATTCCTCTATTTGCCTAAATTTAATTATTAAAGTTAAATTTCAAATTTAAAAGCATATTGTCATATAAAATGCATTTCTGAAGGTACACATTATATAAAAAAATTGTTAGTAAGTGAAATTGAAGTTTCATCGTTCAACATGATTTTTTCCCCAACATTTAACTACGAAAGTTTTAAAACATATAGAAAAGTTAAAATAATTGTACATTGGACACAAATATACATACTACTTAGATTCTACAATTAATATTTTAGTTGCTTAATCATATAGCTATATATCTATCAAACACTTTATATATCCATCAATCCATCTTATGAATATCAAGGTAAGTTGCAGAAATAGATATACTTCTTTCATCATACAGATAATTAGAGTTCAACATTTGCATATATTTCTTTTTATTTTTGAGTAAAATTTACCTACAGAAATATACAAATCTCAAGTGCACCAACAGATTAGGTTTGACAAATGTATCCATCTGTGTAATGCAAACCCCTATCAAAACATAAAGAATTACTATCATCAAAGAAAGTACCTTTGTGTTTTTCCAGCCAATCCTACTCTCCAAGGCAACCACTGTTCTGTCTCTTCCCCACTGTAGATTAGTTTTGCCTGTTTCTAGAACTTTATATAAATGAAATAATACAACATGTATTATTTGTGTAAGGCTACTTTCAAGTAGCATAATATTTTTGAAGGATTATCTACACTACTACATTATCTGTAGTTCATTATATATTCCACTGAATATATTCAATTTTTTTTTTTTTAGAGAACCCATTCTACTACTGATGCATTCCTGAGCATCAGTAGTAGATGCTACTGATTTTTGCAGTTTTAGGATATTTTGAATTAAGACTGAATAAAGTTCCTGAATATTCTCATATAAGTATTTTGTAGACATATGTTTTCATGTTTCTTGGGTAAATACCAAAGGGTGGAATTTCAGGATCTTTGGATAGATGTGTATTTAGTTTAATGAGAAACTGTAAAAACTTTTTTTTAAGTGGCTGTAGCATTTTACATTCTCAACAATTTGCATAAGAATTCCAGTGCTCTACTTCCTCAGTAACATCTGCTACCACCAAACTGGTTCATTTTAGCCAATCAGATGGGCCAATAATGTTGAGCACATTTTGTGTCATTGGCCATTTACGTATCTTCCTGTATAGTGTCTGTTCAGATCTTTTGGTCATTTTTGAATGAATCCTTTTATTATTGACTTGTGGGCATTCTTTTTTTTTTTTTGAGGCAGAGTTTCTCTCTTGTTGCCCAAGCTGGAGTGGTGCAACAGCATGATCTTGGCTCACCGCAACCTTTGCCTCCCAGGTTCAAGCGATTCTCCTGCCTCAGCCTCCTGAGTAGCTGGGATTACAGGCATGCATGACCATGCCTGGCTTATTTTTTGTATTTTCAGTAGCGATGGGGTTTCTCCATGTTGATCAGGCTGATCTCGAACTCCTGACCTTGGGTGATGCGCCCACCTGGGCCTCCCAAAGTTCTGGGATTATAGGCGTGAGCAACATTCTTTATGTAACTGGGACAACAGTTCTTGGCCACATATTTTGTAAATATTTTCTCTGTGACTTAACTATTCATTTTCTTACTGATAGCTTCTGATGAACAGATGTTTTAATTTTGATAGCCTAATTCATCAATTTTCAATTTTTGTTCTTTTATAGTTCTTACTTCTATGTCCTATCCAGGACATCTTCATTTACAATCACGTCATGAACATATTTTGCTATGTTTCTTCTAGTAGTTTTATAATTTTATCCTTTGTGTTTATGTTTATGATTTGTCCTAAATTAATTATCATGTATGGTGTGAGGTAGAAGTTGAGTTATATTTTTCTACATGTGTATTCAGTTGTTCCAGCACAATTTGTTGAAAGACTCTCTTTCCCATTGGATTGTTTTGGTGCTTTTGTCAAAAGTCAGTTGACTATATAAGTAGGGTTATTTACCAGGCTATCTTTTTCCATTCATCTTTGTTGATCCATATGCCAGCACTATACTGATTTGATTACTGAATAAATCTTAGGTGATGTTTAGAATGCCATCTTTTGGATTGTCTGAATACTTTTTAAAGAGTTATCTTTTAAACTGTGGATTAGTTTTTTAGCTACATGTTTTTGTATTTAATTTTTTGGTGGTTAGAAATTATACTATACATTCTTCTTTTTTATTGCATTTTAGGTTTGGGGTACATGTGAAGGACATGCAAGATTGTTGCATAAGTACACACATGGCAGTGTGATTTTCTGCCTTCCTCCCCATCACCTATATCTGTCATTTCCCCACATGCTCTCTCTCCCCAAATCCCCTCCTTACTGGTTTAAATAAAATAAATATACTACCATGTCACGTAAAAAAGAAATATAGTGCAACCAAATGAATCCACTTATCCCCGTCTGCATCCTTTAGGCTCTAGTTGTCATGTTACATTGACATACTTCATAAACCCCACAATATAATAATTATTGCTCTAAATAAGCATGTGATTTTTTAATTTAAAGGAAAAGGGGTCTTTTATATTTACTCATATTTGTCACTTATGGTGCATTTTATTCCCTCCTGAGGATGCTGGGGCTCCATTAATTTTTTTTTTCAATGTTTATCTTTCTTCTTCAAATAAAATAATTTTTATTGATTTATCTTAAAATTCACTGACTTTTTTCTGTAATGAAATATGCTATAAAAGTCCATCTAGTGAAATTTTATTTCAGATACTGTATTTTTCTATTCTTGAATTTCTCATTTTTTAATAGTTGCTTACTCAGATTTTCTTTTACTCATTACTAGTATATTTTCCTTTATATCCTTGAGCATTGTTATGATCACGAATTTGAAACCCTGGTCAGCTAATTATAGTCAACTGGTCTCTATTCTTTTGGATATAAGTAATTTTGGATTGTATACTGAACATTGTGGGTGTTATGTTATAAAGACTCTGGATCCTTATGTTCTGCCAAAGAGTATTTATTTTTTTCTTGTTTTGTCTTAACAAGGAGTTAAGCTGGCTAAACTTAAAGTATTAAATCTGTTTCCCATAGGGTAGGTGACAGCTAAAATATCAATTACTTTAGTTTGAGATGGACTAGTTAGCGTGTTCCTTGAGCATATGCATTTCAGGAATAAGCCTGAGATTTGTAAAGAGTTTATATGCAAAATTTGAGCTCTCTTTCTCTGGGTTTCACTTTTCTGGGATATCCCTTACTTCTCAGAGGCTGAGGTTGCCTTGTTCTCTATCCTCTAGTCTACAAATTTTGATCAAATTTTTAGCTTTCTTGCATGGAGCAAACTGTACCGTTCCCTCAATCCAATATCCTTAAAAAGAAAAAATTCACTCACTGCCATGCCTTTCTTTCAACATAAAAAAAAAGTTAATGGACTATTTTTTAGAGCAGTTTTAGGTTCACAGGAAAATTGAGCAGAAGTATGGAGAGTTCCCATATCGCCCCTTTTCCACACATCCACAACGTCCCCCACTATGGGCATCCTGCACTGGAGTAGTACTTTCTTACAATTGATGAATCAATATCATATTACTACCCAAAACTCATAATTTACATTAGGGTTCATTCTTGGTGTTGTAGATTCTATGAACTTTGACAAATATATAATGACATGTCTCCGGTATTGTAGTATTATACAGAATAGTTTCACTGCCCTAGAAATCTTCTTTGTCCATTTATCCTCTGCCTGGAACTCCTGGCAAGCACTGATCATTTTACTGTTCCATAGTTTTGTCTTTTCCAAAATGTCATATAGTTGGAATAATACAGTATGTAGCCTTTTCAAATTGGCATCCTTCACTTAGTATGCCTTCTTTTAATTTTTGATACTCCCTCCATTATGTGTTTGGTTTGGGTCACTATTGTCTTTAAGTAGCTATTTTTTCTAGAATTTATAGTTGTTATCTATAAGAAGGCTTACCTAATATGAGCTACTCAGCCATTAAGATAAGTTTTAAAAACAAATTAGTACCTTTAACAGTAACAAACAGACTTCTGGCCACAGTTCAAGATAGATATATCATAGCTTATTTTAGATAAACCTAAAATAATTAAATTTCAGAATTGAAATAGATCTTAATGGTCATCTACTCTACCAACTGATAACAAAATTCCTAATTTCCATCAAATAAAATGAAATATCATTATTTCATTACTTATGATGTATCCTTTACCAAAAAGGGACAATTATATTCTAAATACATGTAACAAACCTGTCAAGGCTGTTTCACTCATAGATTTAATTTGCAGAAAAATTTCTCCTTTCAGTGAAGTCCAGTTTTGGTAATTATCATACACTTCATTTTTAATATGGATTAGCTCCCTTTTAGTAAAAGTAAGTAATGAAAGAGTCTTATTCCAGAAATATTTGTACTCTGACAATCTTTGACTGCAAGGTAAAAAAAATAAATAGAATTTTAAAAAATAGTAAGCATAATAAACATTTCTTCAAAAACAGTTTTAGAGTGACCATATAATCTACTAATTGGAGACAAATTTTGAAACCAAAAGAAGTTGGTATTCATGTTATGCTGAGACAACATACAAACTAGGAATAACTCAGGTAGACTGAAGTGTATGGTCACTCTAACACATTTCCATTTTGCCATTATTTTAGCTACAAAGAAAGATAGCTAATTACCTTCATACACATTTATTCTAAATATATATATATATATACATACAGTATATATACAGTATATATATATATATTCAACAGTAAACATTTAGTGAAGAAAATTAGGCCAGAGCAATTTAGTCTTAGACCTTAAATGAGAATCTTAGTGTCTTATACAGCATTTGCCCCACATAGCATGGTTGGACAGGCAGTGAAAAATCTGGAGTAATAATAAAAAAAACAATTCGAAGTGACTTATGCAGTGCATTTGCCTCATAACACTCGACAGCTCAAATAATCATGTTTTTTGTTATCTCAATGATTTTTATTACTTCAGATATTATGGTTTTAATTACCTTAATAATCAAGTACAGATATAGATTTGAGAGTTAGCAGCACAAAGGTGATGACTGAAGCTATGAGAGTATGATTATTGTGTCAATATTTATATCCCTGAGTAGACTAAGATCTATAAGGCAGAGGTTATATCTATATCTGTCTTGCTCATCACAGTCTTTTTAGTATTTAGCACAGTGCCTACTGCATAATATGTGCTTAACAAAAACTGAATAAACGAGTAAATAAAATATGTTCCTCACCTCAACTGGAGAAATGGAAAAGTGAGAAGTGCTAGGGTTAACACATTGGACAACACAAACATTTAAGGGATTGAAACTAAAGAAAAATCCCTCAAAGGAGACAAACAGCTGCTAAGAGATGAACAGCACCAAGGAGGCTAAGCAGAATATTGAGGATTCCTCAGAAAGGAATTAATGTTTAACAACCTGGAAGTAGGTATGAAAGCCAAAGGATTTAAGGGTAAATACAGCTAAATAAGTAGAGATAAAAGGACTTGGAATGTTGGTAAACTCCTCTATGTAAAAAATCCTAAAGAAGATACACACACACACACACACACACACACACACACACACACACACACACTAGAATTAAACAAATTCATCAAAGTCACAGGATACGTGATCCATATGCAAAAATCAATTTTATTGCTGTAATTGACAATGACCACTCCCCAAAATAAAATTAACAGTCCTATTCATAAAAACATAAAAAAAATAAAACTCTTAGAAATAAATTTAATAAAAGAAGTTCAAGAAAATAAAACATTTTTGAGAGGACTAAAGATCTCCATGGAAAAATATAACACATTCATGAACTGAAAGATGCAAAAATTTTAAAGGAAAAATTCTCCCCAAATTGATCTATAGATTCAATACTATACCTATCAAAATCCCAGCAGGCTACTTTGCAGAAATTCACAACTGATCATACAATTCATTATCGAGGGTCCAGAAGAGCAAAAGTGATTTTGAAAACAAAGAAGAAAGTTAGAGGGCTTATACTTCTTGATTTTAACATTTAATAAAAACCATTGTTTTTAAGAGAGTGTGGCACTTATGTAAGACATCCAGATTAATGGACAGAACAGAATATCCAAAAGTAATCTTTTACATTTACAGTGAATTAATTTTAGGCAAAGATGTTAAGGCAATTCAATAAGGGAAAAAATGGTCTCTAACAAACAGTGCTGGAACAATTGAATATCCATGTGAAATAGGATGAATTTAGATCCTTAATTCATATCATATGCAAAAGTTAGCAGAAATAGATCGCAGATCTAAATAAGAGCTAAAACTATAAAACTCTAAGAAAATACAGGAGAAAATCCTTGTAACAGGCTTAGACAGAGTTCTTACACACATAAGCAAAAGCACAATCTATGAAACAGATAAACTGTATTTCATCAAAAATAACAACTTTTCAAAAGACATTGTTAAGAATATAAAAAGTAAGCCCAGGCAAGATGGCTACATAGGAACAGCTCCGTGTGCAGCTCCCAGCCAGATGGACACAGAAGTCAAGTGATTTCCACATTTCCAACTGAGGTACCTGGGTCATCTCACTGAGACTGGTTGGACAGTGGGTGCAGCCCAAGGAGGGTGAGTCGAAGCAGGGTGGGGCATCACCTCACCCGAGAAGTGCAAGGTGCCAGGGAACTCCCTCTCTTAGCCAAGGGAAGCCATTAGAGACTGTTTCCTGCACGCTGGCCCAGATACTGCACTATTCCCATGGTTTTTACTACCCACAGACCAGGAGATTTCCTCCAGTACCTACACAAACACCAGGGCCCTGGGTTTCCAGCACAAAACTGGGTGGCCATTTGGGCAGAAATTGAGCTAGTCACAGTAGTTTTTCATACCCCATTGGTGCCTGGAATGCCAACGAGACAGAACCATTGACTCCCCTGGAAAAGGGGCTGAAGCCAGGGAGCCAAGTGGTCTGGCTTGGCAGTTCCCACCCCCACAGAGACCAGCAAGCTAAGATCCACTGACTTGAAATTCTCACAGCCAGCACAGCAATCTGAGCTGGACCTGGGTCATTTGAGCTTGGTGGGGAAAGGGGCATCCACCATTGCTGAGGTTCAAGTAGGCGGTTTCAACCCCACAGTATAAGCAAAGCTGCGGGGAAATTCAAACTGGACAAAGCCCAACAAAGCTCAGCAGCTGCAGGCACTGTCTCACTAGATGTCCTTGCAGGGCAGGGCATCTCTGAAAAAAGACAGCAGCCTCTCAGGAACTTATAAATAAAGCCCCCACCTTCCTGGGACAGAACACCTAGGAAAAGGGGCAGTAGTGAGTACAGCTTCAGCAGATCTAAATGTCCCTGCCTGGCAGCTCTGAAGAGAGCAGCAGATTTCCCAACACAGCATTTGAGCTCTGATAAGGGACATACTTCCTCCTCAAGTGGCTTCTTAGCACTGTGTAGCCTGCCTGGGAGACGCCTCCCAGTAGGGGCTGACAGACACCTCATACAGGAGAGCTCTGGCTGGCATCTGGCGGATACCCCTCTGGGACGAAGCTACCAGAGGAAGGAATATGCAGCTATCTTTTTTTTTTTTTAATAGAGATGGGGTTTCACCATGTTGGCCAGGCTGGTCTTGAACTCCCAACCTCAGGTGATCCGCCTGCAACAGCCTCCCAAGGTGCTGGGATTATAGGCATGAGCCACTGCACCTGGCCAGCAGCAATCTTTTCTGTTCAGCAGTCTCTGCTGGTGATTCCCAGGCAAGCAGGGTCTGCAGCAGACCTCCAGCAAACTCCAGCAGACCTGTAGTAGAGGGGCCTGACTGTTAGAAGGAAAACTAAAGAAACAGTTTCAATGTCAACAAAAAGGACGTCCACTCAGAGACCCCATCCAAAGGTCACTGACCTCAAAGACCAAACGAAGATAAATCCACGAAGATGGGAAGAAATTAGCGCAAAAAGAATGAAAACTCCAAAAACCAGAATGCCTCTTCTCCTTTAAGGGATCACAGCTCCTCACCAGCAAGGGAACAAAACTGGATGGAGAGTGAGTCTGATGAATTGACAGAAATAGGCTTCAGAAGGTGTGTAATAACAAACTTCTCTGAGCTGAAGGAGCATGTTCTAACCCAATGGAAGGAAGCTAAGAAACTTGATTAATGGTTAGATGAAATGCTAACTAGAATAACCAGTTTAGAGAAGAACATAAATGACCTGATGGAGCTGAAAAACACAACACAAGAACTTCATGATGCATATACAAGTTTCAATACCCAAATCAATCAAGCAAAAAAAAAGAAACAAAAATTGAAGACTAACTCAATGAAATAAAATAAGAAGACAAGATTTAAAAAAAAAAGAGTGAAAAGAAATAAACAAAGCCTCCAAGAAATATGGGATTATGTGAAAACATCAAATCTACGTTTGATCGGTGTACCTGAAAGTGGCCATTCCTCAGGGATCTAGAACTAGAAATACTATTTGACCCAGCAATCCTATTACTGGGTATGTACCCAAAAAATTATAAATCATTCTGTTATAAAGACACATGCACATATATGTTTATTGCAGCACTATTCACAATAGCAAAGACTTGGAACCAACACAAATGCCCCTCAATGACAGACTGGATAAAGAAAATGTGGCACATACACACTATGAAATACTATGCAGCCATAAGAAAGGATGAGTTCACGTCCTTTGCAGGGGCATGGATGAAGCTGGAAACCATTATTTCTCAGCAAACTAACACAAGAACAGAAAACCAAACACTGCATGTTCTCACTCATATGAGAACACATGGATACAGGGAGGGAAACATCACACAATGGGGATTGTTGTGGGGTGGGGGGTTAGGGGAGGGATAGCATTAGAAGAAATACCTAATATAGATGACGGGGTGATGGATGCAGCCAACCTCCATGGCATGTGTATACCTATGTAAGAAATCTGCATGTTCTGCACATGTACCCCAGAGCTTAAAGCACAATAATAATAGTAATAATAAAAGATAAGCCACTGGGAGAAAATATTTGAAAACCACATTTCATATAAAGGACTTATACCCAGAATATAGAAATAACTCTTACAATCACATAATAAGAAAACAAACCAATTAAAATGGGCAAAATATGTGTCACTAATAAGATATACAAATGATTAACAAGCAAATGAAAAGATGCTCAACATCATTAGTAATTTCAGAAACATAAAGCCACAAGGAGATACTATTTTACATCCACTAGAATGACTACAATAAAACAGACAGACAATAATAGTAAATGTTGACAACAAAAGGTAGAAACTAGAAGCCTCATTCATGGTGTGGGAATGTAAAATGTACAGCCACTTTGGAAAACAAGTTGGCAGTTAAAAAAATTAAATACAGATTAATCATATGGTCTAGTGATTCCACACTTGGGTATCTACTCCAAAGAATTAAAAGCATATGTACACACAAAGACTTGTATATGGATGTTTATAGTAGCATTATTCATAAGCACCAACAAGTGGAAATAATCCGAATATCCATCAACTGGTAAATGGATAAATAAAATGTGATATATCCATACAATGGAATCCTATTCAGCAATAAAAAGGAACAAAATTATGGATAAATGCCACAACGTGAATGAACCTCAAAAAACATAACTAATAAAAGCCAGATAAAAAGACCGTATATTGTTTGATTCTATATATCTGAAATGTCCAGAAAAGGGTAAATCTATAGAAAGAGAAAGGTTAGTTGCCTAGAACTGGAGGTCAAGACAGAGACTGATTGAAGATGGTATGAGGGACTGGAATGTCTTTTTTGGAATGAGTCAAGTATTCTAATATTGGATGTGGTTGCCAATCTAATAGCTAATATTGGTGGCACAACTCTACAGGTTTATTAAAAATAACTAAGTTGTCTCCTTAAGATAAGGTGAATTTCATGATATGCGAATTATATCTCGATGACGATGTTTTTAAAAAGGTATAGGGTAATAAACTATGGGATCAAGTCTAGAAAACAAAGTAAAGCCAAAATATGGTTGGGAAAATTTACTAGCATCCTTAATTAGGCTGAAGAAGTGAAGTGAAAGTGAGGGAGCTGCAAGAGAAATTTTTTAGGTTGACATTGAAAATTTGAGAGACGACAAGGTCTAGCTTTACAAATAAGAAAATTTAAAGGATAAGTACTCTATATTTCAAATAATTTATAAAAGTTTCACAATATGAATCCTCTAAAAGTAAATACTGCTAGAATATTTCAAATATGGTCTGATTTGGAATACTGAACTTATACACAGCTTTATGAAGTGAAGTATATGTATTTCATTCAGGTTTTTAATATCTATTTTATAGGCCTTCTACAATTAATTTGCATTTTTAAAAGACACTTTATTCTGAGTAGCAGACGTGCTGAGCCAACCAATGTGCCAACTAACGTGTGGAGCCCTTGTAAGACACAGGCTGGAAATGATGTCAGGGAAAACACAGAACACAAAAGTATACTTTGCTGGAGGCTAGTGATTTAAGCCCAATTGTAATTAATCAAATGAGAGAAGAATTTAAAAAAACTCCAAAACATAGTTCACTGATCCACTGAATGTTCCTTTTGGGCCCCATAAATAATGACACATTTGAGTAGAAAGCTCATGTTTCTTTCCCTTACCTCTTTTCTTTTAATCCTACATTTGGCTCATGAATCCTGGACCTCTTCAAGAGAGAAGATTATAAGCTTCTTTTCTTTATCCAGAGCAATGACTAAGTTTTATGCCCTAACATTTTTTAAATAATCAATAATCTAGCTTAAAATCAACTTCTAGTAATGCACCAAAGTCACTGAACTCTACAAATTTGGTTTGATTTTATTTTTAATAGTATGCCTTTTTTCTATGGAATATATTATATCTACTAGTGAGAGTATAAATAAAGTCAATAATTATTTCTATTCATTATTACAAACTGTAATTTGTACTATCCAGTTGACCAGTTACTTTCAAAATTGCTTTTAGTATGTACTATTTTTAGATTAGTCAGATCCCAGACTACTAATTTGTGATCTTTTAACTAAAAATGAGCAAAAATCACAGATCTATAAAAATATGTGAACAAAATAATCTGTTAAAAGTATAACTCAAAATGATGACAAAATTAGAATACAGAATAAAAATAATACTTCCATATGTATGTCTACATTTCTTCAAAATTTTAAAATGCTGAAGATAACATGCAAAAATGAAAATAATGAGGATCAACTTTATCCGTATCATAACATCCTGAAGCAGGAGTAATTATCTGATCTAGTCCCAGTCCAGCCTTTAAAGGTCAAACTCTCATGGATGGTAAATCCATGATAGCATTAGTGGATAAAACAGATGGGACTTTTGCAGCAGACACGGGCCAAAGCTATTACAGAAGCCAAAAATGAATACTGATAGTCCTGATTAAAACACAAAAGTTGGGATCACCTGGATGGCATTATCCTGTTGGTTCAATATCAGATTTCTAGGAAAGGATCAAGGGAATTTCTGATGATAAAAAAATTTTTTATCTTGTTTTTTATCTTGTTTTGTGAGTGGACTTCATTCATGCATTCATTCAAAACTTATATATTGAACATCAGTTATGTGCAAGGCATTTATAAAAGGTAGATGGTCCAATAGGTTATCAGATAATGCATTAAAAATTATTAGTCTACAGAATGTTTTTCAGAATATTCCTAATAATTATTAGTTAAAAAACAAAAATCTAACATTCAAAATACTCAAGCAGCATATTTTTTTGGTCATCTTGAAGCTATGTCATTTGCCATGTTGAATTAATTTATTTCCTTCCCTTTTCTAAGAGCTAAAAGCTATTCAATTTAAAAAGAAATTATTCTTTCTCATAAACATTCTCAATATATTCAATTCACTTTTTAGGAAGAAAATGAACTTCCTAGTTTCTTTAGAAAACTGGATTTTATCTTTAAGTATTATAAATACTCCAAGGATTATATAAAAGCAGAATTAACATGCTTTACACTGGAGATTTCTGAATTTAAGGATTATGTTAATATTATTTAGGAAGTTTTCCTATTCTGTTGCTTTTCTTGTCACTGGGCTATCACTCAGGTGATCAAATAGACCAAGAAATATTGGTGAAGAGGGAAATTAGTTACCGTGCTTTCATTCTAAATGTCACCACAAAAGAAGAACAATAACAATGGACTACTAGAACAAGGCATATGCCTAATTTAAATTTAATTAGTAAAAGTATTCATTGAGATAATGGTTTAAATAACAGAAAAGAAAATGTAATGCTGTTTCACTTTTCTCAATCACACCAGATATAGAAATCATACGACTAAAATGTGTTTGGCTATTTACAAAGTTATTTAAAAAGATATTAAACATATCTTTTTAATCTTTATAATTTTCAGTTATTTAATCTTACCTGAAGATGTCTGATTGTCTATATTTAATTTTTAATTCATCTTGTAAATGAGTCAGTTGCTTCTTTACTTTCTGAAATTCATTTTGTTGACTTTTTAACTGCATGCCTACATCATAAATTCTAAAAATATAAACAAACATCCCTTAAGTATTCCTTCATATGTATTTTTAAATTAACGTTTAACTGTACTTACTTTTAATGAAAATGAGAAGAAGAAACTAAGCCTCTTATATATGCTATATGAATGTACAGAAAAAATAGGAAGAGACCAAATCTTGGACACCAATCCTGGGAAGAAGAGTAGAATTTATGGGCAAGGGGAAAAAGTAAAGAATACTGAAGACAGGCAGAACTAGATTCTTTTTGTATTGTTCAACTGTTTACAATGAATATATATACATAAATATTGATCACAACATAAAAATATTTTCATTTAAAGTAATACATGTTCAAATTTAAAATGTCAAATATTACTGCCTTAGTCAATTTTGTGTTGCTATAAAAGAATATCTGAGGCTGGGCAATTTATAAGGAAAGGAAGGTTATTTTGCTCATGATTCTGGTGGCTGGAAAATTCAAGACTGGATGCTGCATCCAGTGAGAGCCTCATGCTGCTTCCACTTATGGTGGAAAGTGGAAGGGAGCATGTGCAAAGGAATCACATGGTAAGAGAGGAAGCAAGAGAGAAAATCAAGAAAGCCAACTCTTTTTTTGTGTGGGGCTTTTGGTAAGAAGTCATTCAGAATAACATGAGTTAACTTTTGGTATAATGAGTGAATGAAAAATGAGGATCAAAATTAAAATTGTAAGTATATAAGCATGAAAAGTAAAATTTACATGAGGAAAAAGATGCCTGACATTTTATCTTCTTGGTAACAATAACTCACAATGTCACATCGTGACATTACAAACTTGATCTAATATATCATGACAATGGGATATTCTAATATAGCTTAATTAATTAAAAAGACAATGAGATTTGTTAGTGTGTAGTTTCTATAGTTATTAATCTATTTCTAAGATAAATGTACAGAAATATTGGTTACCAAGAAAACACATTTTTTATCACATATAATCAAACAATTGAAAATAAACTGAAGCATTACATTCAGCTGTGAATAACAGGAAGCACTAGAAATTTCCTGATAAAAAGGAAGGTGCTTCTTCTTGCATGAAAGTCTTAGGTGAGACCAGTCACTGCACAATGCAGCAGAAAAATAAGTTCCCGCTTAGTTGGTTTTTATGGCAGCATGGTTGCTGTTCACCTGAATCAAGAACAGAGTCACTATCAGTAGGAACAACAATGCTTATAATACAAAGTAGACCTTAAACCAACTCAATCTATAGATAAGGGGAGTTGAGCATCAGAGGATATTTCCAGCCATGACAATGTGAATTAGTTCTCTAGTAAACACTTCATAGTTTCTAGCGGGGTGGGAAGCAAAGAAAGGATGCATCTTTAATGTGGGGCATCTGGGGGCATCTCCGGAGACCTACAACTGAGAAAAGAAAAGTCAAGTGATTTGGAGGGTACTCTCGATTAGCAAGCCAAACAATAAGGATAATGGGCTGAAAGCAGGTGGCCATGTACCTCTCCCTGTTTTAACAACCGGCTATGTTAGGAACTAATCCATTCTTGCCAGAGCAAAAATTCCATTCACTCACAATAGAGGAGATTAATCTATTCATGAGGAATCTGCCCCTACAACCAAAACACCTCTGACTAGGCCCTATCTCCCAACACTGCTGTGTTGAGGACCAAATTTCATCATGAGTTTTGCTGAAGACAAACAACATCCAACCATAACAAACACTAAAAGGATTATTAAAAAAAAATAGTAACCATATGCCTCTACCCCAATTCTCACTGTCAAAGGAAACTTTTAATGTTTTTCCCGTTTCTCCTACTTACCTCCATATTTACACTATTTCCTAATATTTAATTTTATATATTACTTAGTGATACATATCACTTAAGATGTAGTTCTGCTACATATAATTGAGACCTGAATATGATGGCATAAATATACATATAATCTCACATAAAACAAACACATTGGTAAACAGTCCGGTGCTAGTATCATAGCTTTATAATGTTATCAGAGCCTCATATCCTTCCTATGCCTTTGGTCCACCATCTTTGGTATCTGTACTTTATTCTCATAGTCCATATGGTGGTGAAAGCTTCAACCATTACATTCCCATTCCAGGTCAGCAGCAGAAGAATAATGGCCTACTCCATCCCTTTTAAGTCAATCTCCTTAAAGTACCACTGAATACTTCTACTGAAGTTAGATACATAGCCATATTTAGCCACACATACAACTGGAAGGTGTCATCCTGTAAAGATTATCCCCCAGATATATTCATAGTTCTGTTACTTAGAAGGCAAAATAAATGTTGGGGTAGGTAGTTAATAAGAATTTACCATCCTATACACCTACTCTTCTCTTAATCCTCCCAATATAGTTAAATTGGCGCTTATTATTAAATTATATTTAGCATTTACATTGTTGTTCACTGTGAGCCACATATAATACTATGATTACATTTCGTTCTTATATAACTTTTTGTTGTCTCTGGAATTAAAAATTGTCTCCTTTTCTCCTTTCATTCTTTTCTGGGTACCATATTTGTTCTTCTTCCGTCTTGGACAGAGAGGTAATTCTTCTCCCAACACCTTCAGACACAGTAGATAATCTTTCCAAATCATCTCTTTTCCAGGAGGTAGCCTTCTGGGAGTTCTCCATCCCCCTGCTCTAGTCTGGTTTATGCTCATGCTTGACTACACAGCTGTCATCATGAGACTCCCCTTCTCCATCACTTGAGGAATTGTCCTCATCTCTCTTTCATGTCACTTTTCCTATACCTTGGTTCTGAAGTTTTCTTCCTTCTTGGTTTACTCCTTGGAGCAAATCATCCAGAAATTTCCTGTGCATAGGAAGTAAACTTGAAACTCTGGATGTCTGAACATGTTATTATTTTATCTCAGACTGGACAGTTTGGCTGAATAGAAAATCACAGATTTGAAAAATATTCAGCAGAAAATTAGGACACTATTCCATTGTTTCCTAACTTCCAGTGATACTGATGAGAAATCCAATGACATTCTCATTTATATTTCTTTGTGTGATATATGGTGGCTCCCCCAACCTTCCCCCTATTTCAGAAACTTTTTCTGAAAGAAATTTTTTCACTTTTCACTTGGGATTCTTCAATCTGATCACAACGTATCATCATGTTAATTTTTTGTCATTCTCTGTGCTGGGTCCTTGGTGAGTACTTGCCTTAGAAACTGATTTCTTTAGTTTTCAGAAATTTTCCCATGGGGAGAATAATGCTTTTCTGTCCATTTTCTGTTTCTGTCTGGAACATCTTTCTATTATTTTAAATGAAGAATTTCTTCAACAAATCTTCTAACTTTCTTATCCTTTTTCTATCATTTTACCACTTTTAACTTTCTGTTCTTTCATTATCTTCCATCCTATTAAAGTTTTAACTTTGGCTATCATATTCTAACTACCAAATTTTTTTTCTTATTCTCCAAAAGGCCTTTTTTAATTGCCCCTTTTCTTGTCCCAGGAATACAATTTATATTTCTTTGAGGATATCAATTCTAGTATGTTTTTGAAGTTTTCTTCAGTTTGCTGCATTGCTTCTGTTTCCTTTTGAGACGTTTTCTTTATTTCACTTTTTGGCTTTCATGTTTGAGGCTCTGCTCAGAAGTCTGATGGTCCTTTGTTGTCTATTTATAATTAGCAATGAGGTACTCTCACAACCAATGTCATACCAAATGGGCAAAAGCTGGAAGCAATCATCTTGAAAACAGGAACAAGACAAGGATGCCCTCTCTCACTACTCTTATTCAACGTAGTATTAAGAATTCTGGCCAGAGTAATCAGGCAAGAGAAATAAATAAAGTACATCCAAATAGTTAGAGAGGAAGTCAAACTATCCCTGTTTGCAGATGGCATGATTCTATATCTAGAAAACCCCATAGTCTCAGCCCAAAAGCTCCTTCAGCTGATAAACAACTTTGGTAAAGTTTCAGGATACAAAAATAACACACAAAATTCACAAATATTCCTATACACCAACAACAGCCAAGCTGAGAGCCATATCAGGAATGTAATCTCATTTACAATTACCAAGAAAAGAACAGAATGCCTAGGAAAACAGTTATACCAGGGAGGTAAAAAAATCTCTACAATGAGAATTATAAAACACTGCTCAAAGAAAGCAGAGCTGACATAAACAAATGAAAAAACATCCCATGCTCATGGATAGCAAGAATCAGTATCATTAAAATGCCCATACTGCCCAAAGCAATTTAGATATTCAATATTATTCCTGTCAGACTACCAAAGATATTCTTCACAGAACTAGAAAGAACCTGAAAGTGATGGGGAGAATGAAACCAAGCTGGAAAACAGTTTTCAGGATATCATCCAGGAGAACTTTCCCAGCCTAGCAAAGCAGGCCAACATTCAAATATAGCAAATACAGAGACCACGACAAAGGTATTCCTCAAGAAGAGCAACCCCAAGGCACATAATCGTCAGATTCATCATGGTTGAAATGAAGGAAAAAAATGCTAAGGGCAGCTAGAGAGAAAGCTCGGGTTACTCACAAAGGGAAGCCCATCAGACTCACAGAGGATCACTCAGCAGAAACCCTACAAGCCAGAAGAGAGTGGGGGCCAATATTCAACATCCTAAAAGTAAAGAATTTTCAAACCAGAATTTCATATCCAGCCAAACTAAGCTTCATAAGTGAAGGAGAAATAAAATCCTTTACAGACAAGCAACTGCTGAGAGATTTCATCACCACCAGGTCCACCCTACAAGAGCTCCTAAAGGAAGCACTAAACATGGAAAGAACAACCAGTACCAGCCACCACAAAAGCATACCAAACTGTAAAGACCATTGACTATGAAGAAACTGCATCAACTAATGGGCAAAACAATCAGCTAGCATCAAATGGCAGAATCAAATTTACGCATAATAATATTAACCTTAAATGTAAAGGGGCTAAATGCCCCAATCAAAAGACACAGACTGGCAAACTGGATAAAAACTCAAGATCCATTGGTGTGCTGTATTCAGGAAACCCATGTCAT